AGAAGAGAGAGAGAGAGAGAGAGAGAGAGAGAGAGAGAGAGAGAGAGAGAGAAAGGGTCGCACATGGCCGGACTTGTAGTGCTTGAGGTCGCAGACGGCGAACTCGCGGTAGAGGTGGTCGTAGTACTTCTTCGCGAGCTGGTCGTTCCACGTCAGTCCTTTCTCGTCGTCTTCTTCGCGGAGAAACCTATGCGCTGGATCAGTGTAACATTGTAGGGAGGCGTGGTGCGGTGATCAAGGGATCGACGTACCGATGGTGCGCTTTGAGGATCTCGAATTCGGTGATGCTCCCGCCCGTGGGTCGGGAGGATGAAGAACCTGGTTTGTAAAGCGACATTGCAGTGGATGGGCTGCTGAAACGGGACGTGGTCTCTATAATCGAGCTTGCGCGGACGCTGAGCGCGAGACGATTGAGTCGAAACGCCCGAGGAGCGTTGTGGCGTGGGTATACCATATTCACGTGCCGCCGCCTCTCCGCCGTCCGGAACCTCGTCCACGCCGACCACGACCATCGGCGTATCGACGAGCTGAGTAGTGATAGCCGTAGGCAAAAATGCTTTGCTCCTAGATTTAGTCATATACGCTATCGTCTGCGTCTGGACACGGTGCCTGTTTATGCTATCGTTCTATCAAGCCATCGACTCATGCAACGCCCGGTGGGTGAAAAGTGTAATTACGGACGGGGGATCTGTCCGGTCGAGAGGGCCTGTTCTGCCTGAGAGGTCTCCCGGGCTGGACGACTCTCGATTACTACCGTCTCGACTCTCGATATGCGTTGCGTGGTGCTTCCTCAAGCTCGTCATACATATATAGACCCTCTTCGCGACGATGCGAACGTTCTCTCGTTCACACCGCTGCACTGCGACCGACCCTGGTACCGTCTGTTACCCACAACCGTGTCCTGACTTGCAAGTTGCCCGTTCTAGAGCAAAGGCAACCTTGTCTATGTATACGTGAAGCGCACTTCCTGGAAACCTCCTACGGCCACCCGAAGAGATTGCGAACAACGACCCGCTCGCTCGCACGAGTGTCGGATCCGACTGTGGCCGACGATGGAATGATAGCACCACAAAGGTTATTTTTTACCATCTGCATGCACCTCGTTCTCCTCGGGCATCGCTGCGCATCCGCCGCGACGGATCCAGCCTGCAACGTGTCGCGGCCATGAATATGCGATGACCTGTCCAGAAGAGGTGCATGGGCGTCTCGGGGTGGTGGTGGCGACGAGCCCACGACGGCTTCTGTGCGTACCACGACCCATTGGCTCGTGTTGCCCGCGTTCGACGTTTTCTCCTCGGGATTACCGTCTTACCGTACGATCGAGGCCGGGTGCGATCGCGCGGGTCGTCCCCAAAGCGGGGGGAGGGCGGACGCGATGATACATACGGGGCCAGCGGGTGACGAGACGCCGATCGGTCCGTCGGGCGTCATGTGTGCCCTCCGCCGACCGACCGGACCTCGACGCGACGCGACGCGACGTTGTGTCCGCCCACAAAGCAGATCGCTTGAAGAAGGAAGCCCGGGCCGTTTACGTACGACGCGCCGACCGTGGGGATCAAGGCGCTGATCTGACGCATTTGGGATGTTGGCCGCTGTGGACTCGGTCTGGGAGAGGCGGCGAGGTGGCGAGACCGGAAGTATGCCCATTTTTTTCAGCGGGGAATCATATGCCTCTTATGGCGTGCATCGTAGTTATTGTTAAGGGCGCTTGACGACCGGGGATGAGGACGGCGGTACGCATGCCCAATTCTGCGCGGTGCCACGCCGCATCTTCCGGGTCTTGCGAAATGGTAAACGGTTAGGTCATAAGTAGACGAGATAGATGACGACGACGGTCGCCTTACGCAGGATGATCAAGCAAAGTGATGGAGAGGGATATTGAAAGAGCCCATCCAGCCCACGGCAGTCGGGTTGGGTGTTGCGGCTGGCTGATATGGTTCGCTGATGGGGCAGGAACGGCTAGTGCTTGGCGGACGATGCAAGTGGCTTTACGGAAGGGAACGGGATCCGCGCGCGCAGACAAGCACCGGGGGCCGGTATGGGTGCGCTGAGTTCCTGTAGCAGTAGTGTGATATTGCGACGCATCGTTCCTGAGTAAATAGGCGACGCAATGGGCATCTCTGGGGACGCAAAGGCGTGCACCTGCGTCGTACGACGACAGATTGGAGAAGCTAGCCCAACGCCCGCAGAGGGCTGTGACTGGCTGTGGAATGGCAAATTCCCGGGGCGGAGGCATGTGCAACGGCCGAAGATGCGGGGAAGGGTGGGAAGTCCGGGGGCACGCACGGAAACGGGACGTCACGCGCCATTCGCGCCTGATGCCTTTCTCGCTCGCAGCTCTGGCCCGCCCCCCGGGACTGGATCACACTTCGCGTCCTTCGCCCGCTCCCAGCTCACACCGACGGTTTATAACCACGCTCGCGATGGTCGGCCGCGTCCCCTCCTCCCAACGTCGGCCCTCTGCGAGGGCGTCCGTCTGTCGTCGCCCGCCTTGAAAGCTTGACAGCAGCCTGTTCGTTTCGCCCCGCTGCGGACCTCCTAAAAGGACTCCTAATAGCAACATTCGGATACCCCGGCCCCTGACGTCGCTCCTTCACTACTCTCGCCCAATGGCCAGCACTGCTATCCCGATTCAGCAACCGGGCCTCAACGATCATCCCGCCGATCGCTCCCGCTCGCGTCTAGCCGTCCCCGCCGCCGCCGCCTCGCGCGCTGCCGACCACAGCCCAGCGGCGAGCAGCACGTCCCGGAGCACGTCCACCCGCAGGCGCCGCTTCACGATCCGCGTCGGGTCGAAACAGCACAGGCGCGCCGGGAGCGGTGCGGTCCGGCGCACGCCCAGCCACCAACGCGGCGGAAGCACGAATCCGTAAGTTTTGTTCCTCCATCTGCCAACCCAATCGAGCGATCGAAACGACGGAGCCCCTGTGGTCCGAGCCTCTCCACCCGCGCTTAATCGCCCATGGGATATCCCTTGCATTGCATCAGCGTATTTATAGCCTTTCTCCAGCCCACGCGATCCCCTCTCTTCTGCAACCGGGCCACAACCTCCCACCACGACGGCCACGACCACAACGTTACCTCGCCGATCCAGCGTGGATCCGCCACCCGCACGCGACCCAGCCACCATGCCTCGCCAGGCCACGACGACGACGGCCACCATGACGCAGCAGCAATTAAAGAAGCCCAACCTCCTCGCCCGCCTCTCCACCCGCCTCCGCCCCCGCTCGCGCTCCTCGCCCGCCCCAACCACACTCGCCATCTCTACCCCAGCGCCGATGGACTTCAAGCAGCGCCGCGACTCGGCCCTCCGCGAACGCGGGCTCGTCCCTCCCTCCTCGTCCTCCACGAAAAGCCCCACCAGCCCGACGCGGCGATCCAACGGCTTTTCCATCGACAAAGACAAGCCGCTCCCGACGCCCGTGGTCGACGCCCGAACTGCCGCGCGCCAGGCCGCTCTTCGCGAACGCGGCCTCCTCCCGCCCGCCGTCGATGGCCGCGATCTCTCCGAACAAGAAGCCGAGCGTGACCGCCGCCTCGCCGTCCTCGCCCCCGTCCCCGAAAAAACCGCATCCGACGCCGACGCCGACGCGGGCCCTAGCGCCGCGCAACGGCTCATGGCCGAATGGCGTGCAAGGAACACCACAGCAGCGGTGCGTCTGCCCCGACGATGTTCCTCTCGCACCATTGACTGACCATGCGTCGGTGACAGGCTTCTACCGTGCGACACGCGGACCCGCCGGGCGATAGCGCGGACGGGCTCCCGCGCCCCTCTAAATCTGGCCGATCCGCGCACACGTCCAGGCACTCCACCCCCGTACCTGTCTCGGACGCCAACCAGCCCCGTCGAACAAACAAAGGGCTAAACGCGCCCCCTGTCTCGCCCGACGCCACAGCCACAGCCACCTCCTACAGCAGCACCGCCGCAACCGCGACACGGACACCGTCGTCTCCGCCGCGAAACGATCCCTCGTCGCCTACCGCCGTGCAGCACACCAGCCGCCACGGGTCCGCGTCCCCCCCGCCATCACCGCCCAAAGGCGCCGCGCCGCCGTCCACCCCCGGCTCGCCCCGCCTGCAAGTCCCGCCCGGACGCACCGACTCGCCCACGCGCACGCGGAGCGGGACGAACGCGACCGCGATCAGCGCGCTGACGATGCCGTCGCTCATGTCGCCCACCGTGTCGTCCGAGAGCGCGGACGGCGCCATGCCGCCCACGCCCAAATCCGCGTCCCACCCGCTCGTACCGCCGACGACGGGAGGACACCGGAAATCGCGCGGCTCGCGCGAGCTGAAGGGGGCGGCGACGCCGGTCATCGTCGAGACGCCCGCGCTCGAGAGCTCGGACGAGACGGACGAGTTTACGCCCGGCGCGCTGATCGAGGAGGCGCAGGACGAGCTCGGCGTGCTGCCCAAAGCGCGCCCGCGGCACGGTCAGACGCTCGACGCGTCCCGGCAACAGCACGCCCCGGCCTCGGAGCGCCGCGGCTCGGTGTTCGCGTCCCTGAAGCGGTCGCTCACCGGCGGGCGCAGCGGCAGCACGGCGCTGTCGCTGCCCAACCGACAGCGGCCGAACTCGGCGTACGTGAACCGGACGACGCCCGTCGGCGGCGGCATGCGCACGAGCGCGAGCACGGGGCATCTCCGCGCACCCCTGAGCCCGACGATCCATAACCGGGGTAGCATCCTCGTAGAGGCGGGCGCGATCGAGGACGAGGAGTCGCGCCGGTTAAGCGAGCTCGCGTTTTTGGATTGACAAATCGCTTTCCTGAACATGTTTTTTTTTCCGTATCCAGCTACCCCTCATCGAAGGGCTACACGTCGATCCTTTCTTTCTCATTACCGCCCTACTACTCTCGCATAACACCTCCCTTCTCATCTTTGGTGTTTTTCCCTGTACGCTGCATTTCTTCCTTCGGAATTCTTTTCAACACGTGTAGCATACGCACTACTGTCGCAATCCCACTAATTTGATCGACCGAACCGCACCACCGTGAAGAGAAGGCGGTTATTTGCTAAGTGATTCGATGCCTGTACATTCCATGTGATGGATAACCTTACAATCCCTCATACACGCCTGATGCACACGCACACGTATACATCTCAACCCCATATGCGTCTGTCCATCATCGCCTGCACCTCGTCCCGCGAAAGGGATACGTTGGTGTGCGGAAGGACGCATTTGGAGCATCGCTCATGATCTCCTGCTGAAGTCTCGGGTACTAGCTGTACTTCCTTCGAGAAGGCCATCATCCGTAGCCCCGAATTATCATCTCCCACGTCGCGCACCACCTCTGTCCGGATGATGCCCTTCAATTCGCGCATGAGATCGGACTCGGCGTCGAACGACGTTCCGCCGATGACGGTCACTTCTTCCAGCCGCGAATCCAGGGGTGCCCTCGACTTGACCACGTCGAAGAGCGCCCCGACGCCGCCGTCGTCCACGAATCCGGTCAAATGCCGCAGTTTGGGGCAAAGGACGGCGGGGTCGTCCCCGGGGGGTCGCGACTTCAGGGCGTCGCACATGGCGGCGAAGACGTCGGACAGGCCGGATTCGGTCAGACCGCCATAGTAGCGCGACTCTGATCGAGAGCATCGCAAGCACACGACGTGCGGGAAGCGCTCCAGGAACGTTCGCCAACGCGCCGCTTCGCTCGTCGCTAGCTTCACGTCGAGCATTTCCACCGCGCCTGCCGCGTCCGAGAGCGATCCGGCGATGGAGGCGAGGGCTTCCTCTCCTACGTGGTCTGCCACGCCCTGACCGAAATCGACAGCCCAAGGAGAGGTCGTCAATTCGAGGCTGAAGAACCCTCGAGGCATGCGAAGCCCGACCCGGGTCCATGGGTTCACGGACACGGAGTCACGCTCGATCCGAACCGTGAGTGTCCCATCGGGATATTGGATCGGTCTATACCATGGACGTTCCGTGCAGAGTATCGTCGGTAGGGCTCGCTGCCTCATTGTAGCATGATCTTCCGTGTGTGCTGAGATGCAGAGCGCGCAATCGGCGGGCGTGAGCAGGTGGTCCAATACGTACACCGCAAAGGGCCAATCGTAACCGTTGATACACACCTCCATCAGGGATTCGAATCTGACTTTCCGCGTCGGCGTAAGGTTGGGCTGGGCCCGTGCATGCGGAGGTGCCAGTGGGTCGCGCGGTAGACGCCACGGCGGCGTGAGTGAAAGCGCACGCAAAAGCGGTGATCCTTCGATCGCGGACATGAGCCCTTCCAAAGACTTGCTGTCTCCATCGAGAGTGATGTTCAAGTTGGTGAGGTGTGGCATGATACCTGCGCTACACTCGACAGACCCGCCTGACAGCCTCAGATCTCGAACACGAGGAAAGTTGCTGGCCGAGAAGATCGGCGGCTCCTCGTGCGATCCTTCGTGGCACCACGTCGTGTTGAGTTCCTCCAAGATGGTGAACTCGCGTTCGAACAATCCAGATGGTAACGGCGTGGGATCCAGGGGACTGAGATTGGACATATCCAACAGTTTGACGATGCGATGGCTGTTCGGCACTAGGACTGTGGAGGCGACTTCCGAAATAGCTGTTCCGGGTGGGATGAATATCGAGAGTGGCGCTTCCCCCGACCTGAGCAGGAACAAATCCACCTTCGACATAGGCACAACGCGAAAATCGAGACGATTCCATAGGGTTGGGGTACTGAGCGCAAGCCGACGCCATCTTCGGCACACGCGGGTAACGACCATCCAACTCCGTTCAGGGCCTTCTTGAGTAAGTCTTGCGTGGGGGTCCCTCTGAAGCTTCTCCATGATGATCTGTAGGATGTCGTCGGAAACCGTGTTGATGGGCGAGTGCGTAGGGGAAAACATGGCCACGGATTCTTGATCGATCTGCAGGATTGATTGGTCAATGCTAGCGTTTGATTGTACAAGCATTGGTACGTACCTAGCTGCTCAAGCGTCCAACGGCTGCCTTCGCAGCGGTCCTCAGAACGGTTGATGATGGCCAAAACCACGCCTTTAGAGGGGCGATGAACAATGGTCGATCCCGTCGAGCCTCCGGCTTTCGAGCTCGAGGGTACACCGGTACCTACACGATTCGTGAGTCTGGCTATGGACAGCATCAACATTGGGCATACTGGGCTTGAGGAGCTCCGACGATACGTTTCGCTCTAGCAGTACGCGCGCGTGCAAAGTGATATTCGGTACTAAGTAGTCAGGCCAGAGCAAGCGCGCGCCGTATTGTCGGGAATGCCAGAGTGAACACGTGAAAAAATCGCGCTTTCATCGCGGTCGCGTACGCACGCACGCCAATGCTCGACCTACGCCGCCGCTACGTACGTGCCCGCCCCAAGCATATGTGATGTGCGCTAGATACGCAGCTTTTTTATGTACGGTATCACAAAGCACTGCCGTGTCAGCCCCATATGTGTTTGTCCAACATCACCCGCACCTCATCCGGCGAAAGGGATACACTGGTATGCGGAAGTACACACTTAGAGCATCGCTCGTGATTGTCCGCTGAAGTCTCGGGCACGAGGGGCACTTCCTTCGAGAAGGCCATCATCTTCAGCCCCGAATCAGCTCCAATGTCGCGCACCACCTCCGTCCGGGTTATACCCTTCAACTCGCACATGATTTCGGACTCGGCGTTGAATGATTTGCCCCCGATGACGGTCGCTGCTTCCAGCGGCGAACCTAGGGATGTCCTCGACCTCACTAACTCGATGAGGGTTTTGATGTGGCTATTGTCCACGAAGCCGGTCAGATGTCGAAGGTTGGGGCACAGGCTGGCGGGATTCTCGGGACTTGTCTTCAAGGCGTCACACATCGCGGTGAAGATATCGTCGCGAGTACCGAAAAGGTCCGTTTCAGTCAAACCGCCGAAGTAGCCTGTCCGTGCTCGAGAGCATCGCAAGCACACGACGTCCGGGAAGTGCTCCAGGAATGTTCGCCAATTTGCCGCTTTGCCCGTGGATAGTTTGACGTCGAGCATTTCCACCGGGCCTGCGTTGGAGAGTAATCTGGCAATGGATGCCAGTGCGCTCGCTCCTACGTGCTCTTCCGTACCCATAGCGAAATCCCTAGCCCAAGGAGGGATCGTCAATTCGAGGCTGAAGAAACTTCGGGGCATGCGGGGCCCAATCCGAGCCCATGGGTTCACGGAGATAGCGTCGCGCTCGACTCGAACCTTGAGTGTTCCCCTAGGATCTTGAATTGGTCTATACCATGGGCGGTTTCGGGAGAGCATCGTTGGTAGGGCTTGCTGCCTAGCAATTTCATGATTGCTCGTTTGTGCTGATACGAAGAGCGCGCAATCGGCGGGTGTGATGAGATGGTCCAACATGTGCACCGCAAAACGCCAATCGTAGCCGTTGAGGTACATCTCCATCAGGGAATGGAGTCCGATCTTCCGCACCGGCACAAGAGTTGGTTGGACCCTTGCACGCCCGGGGGCTGTCAGGGAAAGTGCATGCAGATTGGGCGATCCTTCGATCGCGCACATGAGCCCCTCCAGAGATTTGGTATCTTCATTGAGGGTAATGCTCAAATTAGTGAGGTACGGCATCTTGCCCCCCTGACACTCGACAGGCCCGCCTGACAGCCTGAGGTCTCGGATACGCGGAATGTTGGTGGCAGTTAAAGTGGGCGGCTCCTCGTGCGATCCTTCGTGGTGCCAGGTCATGTTGAGTTGCTCTAGGATAGGAAATTCGTGCTCGAAGAGTCCGGATGGTGGTGAGATGGGATTCAAGGGACTGAAATTAGACATATCGAACACTTTGACGATGCGGTGCCTATTAGGGACCAGGACTATGGAGGCGACGTCCGATATGGCTATTCCCGGTGGGATGAATACCGAGAGCGGAGCTTCCCCCGATCTAAGTAGGAACCAGTCCACCTTTGACAGAGGTACGACGCGGAAATCGAGGTGGTTCCATAAAGTGGGAGTGTTGAGCGCGAGGCGACGCCATCTTCGACATACGTAAGTCACGACCATCCAACTCTGTTTGGGGGCGCCTTTGGTAGCCAATCTGGCGTGGGGGTCCTTGCGGAGCTTCTCCATGATGATGTGTAAGATGTCATCGGGGAGAATGTCAATGGGCGAGGACGTAGGGGAAAACATGATCACGGATTCTCTGTCAGATCTGCCTCGGTCAATACCAGCGTTCTGATGCTCAAGTATTGAAATATCGATACAAACATATGTACTCGGTATCACGGCTGCACCTTCGCGTCGTTGCTACGTATGGCTGGTAATGTGTGAAAGCTGCGTTGCCGCACACAGTGGCGGGCGACGTCAAGCTCACCTGGTTGAGTCTGGGTAAGTCTCAGTCTGTGGAGGACAGAAGTAAAGCGACTTGTATTGCAACGCTCAGACAGGCCTGTATATATACTACAGAGAGTGGCTATGCGGTGCAATCACATGCTAAGCTATAGAACAATAAAGAAGGCTGTGGAACGTAGTGACGCACAGCCTATTGTGTCAGAAATAGATATAGCTGTGCCGAGGACGGCAGTCAAGGCGGGCTGTGCCAGCGCCTGTGAATCGGTGGCTGTAGAGCGCCAATTCAACACTCCCCCTCGCTGAGTGCAACGGTAGGCACGTAAGCGGATATGGCGCAAAAATGCAGCCACAGGGAGGATAATGGTTTCAACCGAACACTAGGCCCAGTTGTGACCTGAACTTGAGGAACTTTTCATGTCCCAAATTCTTGGTGAACATGTCTGCGGGGTTCTCAGAACCTTCGATGTAGAACAGCTCAAGCTCCTTATTGACGTGCTCTCGAATGAAGTGGTATAGCACATCAATGTGTTTGGAGCGGCGCTCAGTAACCGCATTGGATGCCATGAATATCGACCCTTGGTTATCGCTGCAGATGGGTAATCGGTTAAACCTATACCCGAGCTCCATGAACAAAGCTCGTATCCAGAGCATTTGGCGACTGCAATCAGATAGTGCCATATACTCGGCTTCTGTAGACGACAGTGCAACAGTTTTCTGTGCTCGTGAAGTCCAGGAGACTATCCCGTTGGCCAATTTTATGAAGTATCCTGTGATCGACCGTCTCGAATTAGGGTCTGAAGCCCAATCAGAGTCAGTACATGCCAAAAAGCCTAGTCCCGAGCCGCCATCATACTTCAAGGAGTAATCCTTGGTGCCGACTAAGTAGCGGCAAATGTATAAGGCTTTGGCGAGGTGATCCTCAGAGGGATTGGTCGAGTGTCGCGCAAGAGCGGTCACTGCGAAGGCAATGTCTGGTCGAGTGCCAATCATAAGATAAAGCAACGATCCGATGACGGTCTGGAAACGGTTCCTAAGAACCGGATCAACAGGTGCTTCATTGGTCTTAGGCAAATAGCCAGTTGGCAATGGTGTGGGTGCGACTCGCGCATTCTCCATACCAAAACGCTGTATTATCTTATCTAGGTAGGCTCGCTGGTCAAGATGGACACAGTTGCCTTTCCAAGTGATACGCATGCGCAAGAACTCTTTGCCGTCGAGTTCTCTACACTCCCACTTATCCATGAAAGCTCGCTTGAGTCTTAGGACGGTAGGAGAGTTCTTGGGCCCCATAAAGAAGGCATCGTCAACATAGACTACGGCAATGCAGAAATTGCCATCTTTGTTGTAGACGAATATACCAGCGTCTGACACAAGGCGTTTAAAGCCTAGGTCGGCCATGGACCGGTCGAGGGCTTTCCACCAAGCTAACCCTGCCTGTTTAAGTCCGTAGAGCGCGCGGCGAAGCTGGAAAACCATGTTTTCGCGCCCTGGCTCTTTAAAGCCTTCAGGTTGCTCCATGTATATTTCTTCGTCGAGATTGCCATATAAGTAGGCATTTCGCACATCAACGGCATGAATTTGCCAGTTTTCAAGTGCGCATAGTGCAAACATCATTCGCACTGTCTCAAAAC